GAGGTGAGGTGAAATGGGCGTGACACTACAAAACTGAAAAGACAAGATGTTCAAAACTTTTCCAGATTCTAATATATTGTTTTTCAGTTTCAATTTTTTCCCAGTTTCAAATTTCCTTTTTTCAGTTTCAATTTTTCTTGAACAAACCGTATGACCCCAATTTGTAGCTCCATACTGGGCCTGCTAAGGTACATGATTCCATGATTGTTTATGTTATTGTGGCTCAGAGTTGGTTTGTGTTTGTGTGTTCAGCGCCGTGACTCCACGGAGCACATCCAGGAGTATTACAGGCAGCGCCTCCGCGTGCAGCAGCATTTGGAGCAAAAGCAGCAGCAGAAGCAGCTTTATCAGCAGATGCTGCTGGAGGGAGGCGTCAAGCCGCAGGATGGAGCCCAACACAACCTCACCGAGACGTTCCTCAGCAGGTGAGGGAGTCGCACTTAAAGAACCTGAATCACCCCATCCATGCTACAGGAGATTTATTTATTTATTTATTTATTTATTTAGATCCATTCAGAAGTTGGAGGAGATGAACGTCGGCATTGATCCCAAAGGAGATGAAGTGATGTCCCATCTGGGCCAGCAATGGAACGGACAAACCGCTGACAGCAGCGCTTCAAACTCCAGGACCAGTAATGACCTCCTCGACCCTGAAAAGGGACCACTGAGGGATAAAGCAGGTGAGGTGAGCTGCAGCTCCGGGAACCACAGCGTGTCTTCAGCCARCGAGCCAGCAGTTTCTAAAAGTCGAAGGTGAGATGGGGTGTCTGACATCAGTTCTCACAGATAAATCCACTAAAATGATTTGTCTAAATATGCCATTTTAAAACTCATTAGTTGTTTTAGTAAAATTGATTGTTTAGCTTTACTGCTAATGAAATGCACATCCTTTTTCATAGATATTCATTTTTTGAAGTTTCTGAGATTGCAAATAGGCTATGCACGGTTAAACAGAGGTTTTTTGTTTGTTTGTTTGTTTGTGAATGATCACTGTCAGTGCTGAAAAACTCCGAACCTCTGCTACCACAGTTCAAGATGATTGTGGTTCTTCTACAGCACGAAACACGCACGAGGTAAGGCAAATTGTGTTTTACATAACTTCTATGATTGTCCAGAGAATTAAATCCATACTTTATAGTTTATGTTAAATACTAAAGCAAATTTGAATGTTTTGTGGCGCATCGTAGAGTAGGTATTTTTTCTGGTTTTGTTCAGTCAGGAAAGTCCAAAGCACAGTTTGTGAGGGTGAATCAGCTGGAGGACACACAGGCGGTGCGTGCGGTGGCTTTTCATCCCTCTGGAGCTCTGTATGCTGTCGGCTCCAACTCCAAAACACTGAGAGTTTGTTCCTACCCAGAAACCCTTAGCTCCAGGTAGGTCTGCCACGAGGTCTTTTATTGCAGAGGAAGCAAAAGTATTGATAATATTCTTATCAGTAGTTTTTGTTCAAAATATGTGAGCAGCTTTGTTCATTTTTTCTTTTTAAACATGCTGTTTTAGGGAGGAAGTCACATCCAGCAGTGATCCATCTGTCTCTGTCTTTGCTTGGCTCCTTTAGTGGTTCTGGCGCTGTCAAGCAGCCGGCGGTGCGTTTCAGACGGAACAAACATCACAAGGGTTCGATTTACTGTGTGGCGTGGAGCCACTGTGGACAGCTGTTGGCTACTGGCTCCAACGATAAATACGTCAAGGTGTTGCCTTTCAATGCAGACACCTGCAATGCCACAGGTGCTGATTTCAGAGGGCTTTCATTGTTAACGCCTTTGATTTATTCTCTCGCTTGATGTAGGACTTTTCTTGCTGAAGTAAAATTGCAGCAATTTAAAATAATAAAATAGAAAACAATAAACAGAAAAACACTATATGTACATAAGAAACTACAGTGGGTAAAATAAGTATTGAACACGTCACCATTTTTCTCAGTAAATATATTACTAGAGGTGCTAATGACATGAAATTTTCACCAGTTGTCGGTAACAACCCAAGTGATCCATACATACAAAGAAATCAAACCATAAATGTCCAGAAATGAAGTTATTTGTAATAATGTGGAATGGCACAGGGAAAAAGTATTGAACACACTTACTGAAATTTATCTAATACTTTGTACAAAAGCCTTTGTTGTCAATGACAGCTTCAAGACGCCTCCTGTATGGAGAAACTAGTCGCATGCATTACTCAGGTGTGATTTTGGCCCATTCTTCCACACAAACAGTCTTCAAATCTTGAAGGTTTCGTGGACCTCTTCTATGAACTCTGATCTTTAGTTCTTTCCATAGATTTTCTGTTGGATTCAGGTCAGGTGATTGGCTGGGCCATTCCAGCAGCTTTAGTTTCTTTCTCTGAAACCAACTGAGAGTTTCCTTGGCTTTGTGTTTGGGCTCATTGTCTTGCTGAAATGTCCAGCCATGTTTCATCTTCATCATCCTGGTAGATGGAAGCAGATTTTTATCAAGAATGTCTCTGTACATTTTTCCACTCATCCTTCCTTCAATTATTTGAAGTTTGCCAGTACCATATGCTRAAAAACAGCCCCACACCATGATGTTCCCACCTCCAAACTTCACTGTTGGTMTGGTGTTTTTGGGCTGATGTGCAGTGCCATTTGACCTCCAAACATGATGTGTATTCTGRCATCCAAACAGTTCAATGTTGGTCTCATCTGACCAGACTATATTCTCCCAGTATTACACAGGCTTGTCTAAATGTTGTGCAGCAAACTTTAAAGGAGCTTCAACATGCTGTTTCTTCAGCAGTGGAGTCTTGCATGGTGAGTGTGCATACAGGCCATGGTGGTTCAGTGCATTACTTATTGTTTTCTTTGAAACAAACGTACCTGCTAATTCCAGGTCTTTCTGAAGCTCTCCACAAGTGGTCCTTGGCTCTTGGACAACTCTTCTGATAATCTTTTCACTCCTCTGTCAGAAATCTTGCGAGGAGCACCTGGTCGTGGTCGGTTTATGGTGAAATAATGTTCTTTCCACTTCTGAATTATGGCCCCAACAGTGCTCACTGGAACCTTCAGAAGTTTAGACATTCTTCTGTAACCGATGCCATCATTATGCTTTGCAACAATAAGGTTGTGAAGGTCTTGAGAGAGCTCTTTACTTTTACCCATCATCAGATGGTTCTTGTGTGATACCTGGCCATCATTTGGGACTGAACCAGCTGATATTAACTTGCACTGACAAGGGGCAGGCTTGCTTTCTAATTACTGAGAGAGTTCAGCTGGTGTCTTGGCTTTCCAGGCCTTTTTACACCTCCCTTTCTTCATGTGTTCAATACTTTTTCCCTGTGYCATTCCACATTATTACAAATAACTTCATTTCTGGACATTTATGGTTTGATTTCTTTGTATGTATGGATCACTTGGGTTGTTACCGACATCTGGTGAAAATTTCATGTCATTAGCACCTCTAGATATTTATTTACTGAGAAAAATGGTGACATGTTCAATACTTATTTTACCCGCTGTATATGATCTTACGCTAAACAMACTGGTCGATTGCGTAAAGTCATGGAGGCAGAGAACTGGCAACGCAAGCTTCATCTGTGTTATGAATTAGCTTTTTTAAATAATCTTTTAATTTTACAAATATTAAGAAGTTGCAAACAAAGGAGCATCATGGCATACTTTTAAAGTTTATTCATCAAACAACTTTAACCTTTTTCTTTCACTCGCAAAAAAATACACGTTCAAAGCAGCACCACGACCTGACATCAGGCAGAAATGTCTCATGGGATTCTTTATGTGACCATGAGGTGATTTAGATATTTATGGTTGTAATGTTTTCAATATTAAGAAAAAAAAGTCTTGATGTTAAACAGCTGGCAACTCCGTCATGATGAAGCGATTCGTTTTGTTGTTTCAAGTTGCTCTTTATACTTCTGGCCACAAGATGGCGCCAAAGAGGACTGTTTTGAAAAGATTCCAGTAATTAAATGTTTTTTTTCAAAACAAGCTTCCGCGCTTCAGAAAGGCTAATTTTTTTGATCATCATGTTTAACAAAAAATAACTTTAATAAATGAAAAGCAAATCAAAAAGATGACAGGGCAGCAAAACTTAGAACAAAGGTGGGCGTCTAGAAAGTAAAGCAACGTCGAGGAGCCAAACAAGACTGTCAAAACCAAACAATACAATGATCTGCTGATGTGAAGGTAGAGACTGGTTATATTTGAACTAGGCTGATAGGGAAGGCAGCTGAGCTGATTGAGGAGTAGCTACAGGTGAGAGCGGCTGATTGACYGGAAAAATACTCAGAGAGAAAAGAGAAATGACACTGGGAACTCTAAGGAGTTAGAAACAACACAGACAGGGAGGGAAACTAAACTAAAGTGACGTGACGCAAGGGACGATAAACACAAACTCCTAAAGCTACAGAAAACATGAAGAAACATACAAGTAAAAACAGGGATTCCAACATAAACTCGCCAGCTTAAACAAAAAAAAATGTTACCACACTTTGTTGTCTGTATTAAATCCCACACGTCTCTCATTCAGGCCCAGACCTAGAGTTYAGCATGCACGATGGCACCATCAGGGACCTGGCCTTCATGGAGGGCCCGGAGAGCGGAGGATCCATCCTGATCAGCGCCGGAGCAGGAGACTGCAACATATACACCACCGACTGTCAGAGGGGACAAGGCCTTCACGCCCTGAGTGGACACACAGGTATGTTGGCTTTTTTAAGTGTGTGGAGGGTAAATAAAAAGCTGCTATAAGAAAATTTTGTATTGTTTTGTTTTACAAACTCTATTAGTTAAAAAAAAATCTTTAAACTGCATTACATAGCTGTTATAGCGAGGTACATTATAGGTGTTGTGTTTGAACAGGTCACATCCTGACTCTGTACACRTGGGGAGGCTGGATGATTGCCTCGGGCTCACAGGACAAAACGGTCCGCTTCTGGGACCTGCGGGTGCCCAGCTGTGTCCGGGTGGTGGGCACGACTCTCCACGGGTCTGGTGAGTCGAATCACAGCTGACGGCAGCGATGAGCAACAGCAGGGTGAAGTTGGAGCTGCAAAATCTGCATCCTCGGTGGTATTCAGATAGCGCTTCCTTGTCCTGCACAGGAAGTGCGGTTGCGTCGGTGGCTGTGGACCCCAGCGGCCGCCTGCTGGCCACCGGACAGGAGGACAGCACCTGCATGTTGTATGACATCAGAGGAGGACGCATCGTCCAGACGTGTCGCCCCCACAGCAGCGACATCCGCTCCGTGCGCTTCTCTCCCGGAGCCCATCATCTCCTCACYGGCTCCTACGACAACAAAATCATCATCAGCGACCTTCAAGGTACAAAAAACCCTGCGTTTAGAAAGTTTGTTTTTGCCTTCCGTTAAAGTTAAACGATGCTTTCAAGTCCCGCTCTCCGCTTTTTGATATTTACCTGCACATTTTACTGGCTCACGTTTTGCTTTACGTTGACCTCAGGTGACCTGACGAAGCCCCTCCCTCAGACACTGGCGGGGGAGCACTGGGACAAGGTGATCCAGTGCAGGTGGCACCCACACGACCAAACCTTCGTCTCCTCGTCGGCCGACCGAACTGTCGTCCTCTGGGCTGCGAGCCCCTGAAGGTCGACAAGAAAATAAATAAATAAATAAATAAAAAAAGGCAACTAGCAAGAGCGGCAGTGAGCACCAGAGCACAGTGCCACCTTCAACACAGCGTAGGATCACAAGCTGCCCCTGGAACGTGTGTGTGTGTGTGTGTGTGTGTGTGTGTGTGTGTGTGTGTGTGTGTG